AACACGGATATTAAATGCAAGAATACAAACTACTCCCGAGTATTAACGTGGCAATCTGCACGCAGCCACTCGAACGAGATAAGAACCGCGATGGATGTTGGTTATTCCTGCGAGTGTATTTGCAAATGGGTTCTCGCGGAATCTCGAGAGCATTCCGAGGGCAAGGGGCGCGCGCAAAGTGCAAGACAATTCTCTGTCATCAAGGAAACCCGATTCTTCTCCTCCCACCGGCGAAAGTGCTTCTGATCGCGAGGGACAGAGGGGTGGCGGGGTAAAAGCCTGGAAAGGGGGGAAAGGATGGCGACGAAGGTAAGGAAGGGCAAGCGGTGGTAGGTACATACGCATGAATGGTCGAAAGCCCGTTCTTATTTCCGGCGCGGTTCATTGTGCATTGTTCGTAAAATGGAAATGGAGCTGGGGGTAATTTGCGTTTGAATGAGTCCCCTTTCGCCTCTCTCCTTATCCTTACCGCCTTTTTCATCCCTCTGCATCCTGACTCAGCCATCTTTTTGCCCTTTTCCTACTCTCACTGCTCTGGTAAAAAAAAATTAACGGGAAATGCTTGACTATTTGACCACGTATTCACGTCTTGAACAACAATCCTTTTGTTTTTGCATTTTTACGAAGATCTATTATACTGGGAAACTTAAATGTATTTGCAATCTCAAATGGAACTTTTTCTTTGGATAATTACAAAAATCCGTAAGTTGCAAATATTTCAATTATAATACGTAAGACAATGTACAAAATGTAGTTATAAACGCTGTCAGTTGCAAACGCAACAACGATGAAAATCGACCTTTTGCGTTTGACAGCCGTTCCAGCGTCCGGCGTGCATTCATCAGATTGTCTCAAACGCGCGTTGACGCGCTGTTATCACAATATATTCATAGGGATTTCCGCGAGGACAATAGGCTGGATCAATAAAACGACAAGTTCAATCTGCAAATCGGGGATTTCGTCTATTGTCAAACTGTTCGCATCCGACAGTTGTATCTGGTCCAATGATGAAAGTGTCATGGAACAACACGATCATGCACTCTCTGTATTATGTACTTACTACTGCGTTATTCAGCAGATGAAAATGTGCTGTCACGCGCTCTACAGAGTATTATCAATATACCTTAAACATTGCAATTATCCACAAAATGCGAAAAGTTAAGGATTTGTAAATTAGAATTATAGGTGTAAATAATGGAATAAAACATCCTTAATTAACAATGTCTATAAAATATCCTTTAATCCTTGATTAATGCAAATTCAAGCAAATTAGGTGAATTATTCAAACACAGTTTCATTACATGTCTAAGAATAGTAATTCATAAAGTAAGAAATGTATCAAAACTTTTTAATATTCCACTGTCTTTGCGGATCATCTTTGGAAGGCTTCATTTAAAGTCTATGCCAATTAAATTCGCGTCCCGTTCGCATCATGAACCGTGACTTTACATATATGTATATCCCGGGACCCAGGGCTGGTTTCTAACGACTGGACATTAATGGAACGATTGTTGCGTTAGAGGCTGACGTTACATCTCCGATGTCGAGGAGCGACGTTCGAAGAGGCGACCTTTTTCGTTCGACACCATAATTTAGACTCGCTTAATTTATGGAAACGAGCCGCCTGAACGTCGATAACGTCCAATTGCGAATATGAACCGGGTTTTATGGAGGAGGTAATCGAACGACGAGATTAAATTGATTTAATGGTACGCCAAACCGGAAATATATTTAACTCCAGTTGATGAATGAGAACATTTTTGTAGAGCATTAAATTGCACGATTGAAAAAAGAACGGATTCAAATTTAAATGCACCAGTAAAAAATAAAATTTACTCTTGCTTTAAAGAAGGAATTACTGTTCCATTGATTTATGACATATATTGTATTAAACGAGTTGTTTCACGTCTATGAATTAAAAAAAAGTTCATAAATACTAATTTAATCTATGGTTTGTCATATTAATGTGAACATTTTACGATCGTTTTCTCCGAGCTGTCTTATCCAAACACTCGGTACCAATTATGACACGAGCGTATAGTTGGAAACGTAACGGGAATCCCAGTCGTAAAAATTTTTATTGATAATAGAAGAAGATTTTAAACGATGTCAAGCCTTCAGTTTTTTGCTGACTAATCATTCCACGAAAAGAAAGTAAAGTTCGCTTGTTTCAAGTCGTCATTCGTTTCACTTGCCTCTTTTATTTAGAAGCTGCACGATAGCTCGAGCGTGACTGCAAAAATTTGACAAATCGTTGGTTTCTGACATTTTACTTCTTGAAGAAGCTCCTCGTGAAAAATCATGACACATATGAAACCGGATTAAATGTCTCACGTTTATATCATCTCTTAAAATATTTCTTAGAAAATGTAGTAAAAGATCAGAAATATAATTTTTACTATAATTATAATATAATTGTAGTAAAAGATCAGAAATATAATTTTTACTATAATTATAATATAATTGTAGTAAAAGATCAGAAAAATAATTATAATATTAAAAGAAATCAAAATAGCAATTGTCAACATAAATCATTTTCACTCTCTCATTCACTTTTAACACTTTTGCATTTTATTGATGATTGATTGTAATTAGTTAATCATGTTCAGGATTTATAGACATTGTTATATTATGTAAAACATAATATTTTAACAATACTGTCCAGCTTCCAGGAAGCAAATAGAAATGCATTAAACTAATCGAATCCACTCGTTAATAGCTTTCGAATTCGCAGAAACGTCCACGTTCGTCCGGTTTTGCGATTCGTCACGTGTCCGCCAGTACTTCGTTGGTCATTCGCAAATATCTTTCACAATAAATATCACCGCGACATTTATGAGTACCGTAGTTAATTTGACAGTTGAGACATGGCTCGGGGCGCAACCGTTCGACCTCTGTTTACAATTACTTAAGCCACTCGTCACGTACGACGTCGTCGTGTACCGGTTTCAGGAGTTTGCACTGGAACCTGACCGTATTTGCACGAACGCTATGAATCTCTATGCCCCTCGCTTCGTCCCGCTTTTCTGCGGTGAATACGGCTCCGAAAGTCTATCGCCAAACATCGGACAAGACCAGCGGGCACCGTTTGCTCACCGTCTTGACGACTTATCCGAACGGGCCGATCGTTCCTGAAAAGACCACGCATTTTGTCGTAATTGTTTGTACTACACATGTTTCCTTCTATCTACGCCTACTTCATTTTATTTTCATTTCCTGTTTGCTCGTCTCCAGCGAATAAATGAAATTTAACACGACGTGGTGACACTTCGCGTTTTAACATGGAAATCGAACTCTCGTACTTTCACAAATTCAAATGAAATTGGTAATTAGAAGTATTCGTGATTCTTGCCCGAACGACGACGCGACGCGACCGTTCGGTTCTAATTAGAATGCGACGAATTCCTGGTAACACCGACTCGACCTGGCGCGGCGCGGCGCGGAGCGCTTGTAAATTCCGAATTGGAGAAAACTCGGAATGCCGTTCGGTCGGGATTCGCCCGGTTTCTAGTTAGAATGTAGGAATGAAGCCGGTATGTTGAAAACGGAATCTCGTAACTCTGATTTTAATACAGAGCAAAAAACAAATCGATATTAGGATTTATTATTCAGTTTCATTCAATTTATTACCCAAATTAATGTAATAAC